ATCCAACCTCCAGCTGCCCTCCCTCAACTTCAAACCATTTCCCCTTGTCCCACTGATGTCCCACTGAGCATCACTGACTCAACAAAGGCAAGCCTGCAGCACCCCTACTGCCATGACATCCCTCAGGTCACAGAATCACAGACTGGTTGGGCTGGAAGGGACCTGACAGACCATCTGTTTCCAAACCCTGCCTGCTTGTCCCCAACCAGATCAGGCCGCCCAGGACCCCATCCAGCCCTGCCTTGAGTGCTGCCAGGGACGGGGCACCCACCCTGTGCCAGGGCCTCACCACCCTCTGGTTAAAGAACCTCTCCTAACACCTAACCTCGATCTCCCAGATCCAGAGGTTACCTGCAGTCAATGCTCCTCGCTTGTGTGTGCATAGGGAAATCCTCATACCTTGCTCAAGGGATATGCCATGCTGCAGCAACACCCATGAGCCACATCCCAAAAGTTATGGGATCCCACAGCACAGGGCCTTACAAGGTTTCACTGCCTGCCCTGAGCCTCTCCTCTAGCATGCTCCCCTCGAGGTGGTTACCTTTCAGGTGCTCTCAGTGCATTTTGCTGCCCCACAGCACTTTCCACATGCCCACCGTCCCTTAGCAGGGAATCCCCATGCCTGACGGGGCACCAGTTTTGCTGCTCTTGCTTTGTGTGTGTGCTGCTGTTCCTCCATGACAGGAGGGAGCGACTCCTCTCCTCCATGCAGGGTTTGGTACACTTTTATCAAGTCGTCAGGAACATGGAAAAGTGCAGTGGGCACAAAAAGGAAACCAACACGGCCACATCAGCACTGTGCTCTAACAGCTTGGATGGAGTTTTATTTGAAACTAGCCTGCTGAGAGCTGGAATAAATTTTGTGTAGCCCTGTAGCACACTAAGCCATGAGGATGGGGCTAGAAATTGCTCCAAAATGCTGAAGAGGACAGAACCCCTCCCCAAGCAGCAGAGAGGGGCAGGGAAGTACAAGCACAACATGCACTGTTTTGGTATTTCCTTTACCAAGTGCAGTGCACACCTGCTGAGCCCTTGGGCCCTGCAGGGAAGCTGAAAAGGGGCCTGATCTCAGTTCATGCTGCTCTCCATGTTGGGTGGAGGGGCAGGAGACGTGAGAACCCAGAGGTGAAATGCTCAGCATGCTCAGCCCCAGCAGAACCACCTCTGCCTCCTCCAGCTGGATGGGTTTACCTTATAAACTGAAGAGGACTGGGCTGTCCTGACTGCTCCTCCTCCCCAAACACGAGGTCAAGGCAGGACTTGAGGCCTTCCAAAAAGACAAGCTGCCCCTGTTCCTTGGCAGCTGTTAGACTGATCCCCTAGAGAGAGGAAAACATTATGTTGCAGAGCAAACTGCTTTGGAGGAAGGGTACAGACAGAACCAAGCAGATCAACAGACTATTTTTATATCAAGTCCCATCAAAATGTGCTAATAAAGTCACTGCCTGAATGACTCCTGCACAGTGGCTGTAAAAGAAGGAGAAAAAACTGAGACGTGAGGTTTAGGTTGGATATGAAGAGGAAGTTTTTCAGCCAGAGGGTGGTGAGGCACTGGCACAGGTTGCCCAAGGAGGCTGTGGATGCCCCATCCCTGCAGGCATTCAAGGCCAGGCTGGATGTGGCTCTGGGCAGCCTGGGCTGCTGGTTGGCGACCTGCACACAGCAGGGGTTGGAGCTGGATGAACACTGTACAACCCAGGCCAATCTATGATTCTATGATAAACAAGCAGTTGGGTTTGGAGTGCTCAGATGAACTGGAATCACTCCTGGGAAGACAGCAGCATCATTGCTGCCCAGCATGAGAAAATAATTCTTACTCAGAGTCAGGGAGAATACAGGCATGGGGTATTAGCAGGGAGCAATTTCTTCATCTTCCTTTCTTGGCAGGTGAAAGCTAATGGTTTTTATTATCTTCACATCACCGATGTGGCAACACTGACAGCCTGGCACTGGCAGCTCCTCAGCACAGCCCACGCACACGAGCAAGGTGCGGTCCGGAAGAAGCCAAGGCCAGGCACTGACACCCACACAGCACAGCTCCCAGGGAAAGCAGCCTCAGCATCCACCTGGGGCCAAGATCTCCCAGAATCATACAATCATTCAGGTTGGAAAAGACCTCTGAGGTCACCGAGTTCAACCCCAGCCCATCCCCACCATGCCCACTGACCCTGTCATCACATGCCACATCTCCATGGCTCTCGAGCACTCCAGAGGCACCACCTCCCTGGGCATCCTGTGCCAATCTCCTGCTCTACCTTGAGAGCCAAGCACAGGGCACATTCAGCTCCAGCACCTCCAGGACCAATGAAGAAAGCCCTGGCAGAGGTGGAGCAGATTCATACAGAACATCCTGAATGGAGATCCCAGCTGGAGACACAGTTCACAAAACAGCTCCTCATCCTTTTTTGTTTTTTTTTTTAATCAAGGGCAACTTTTGGCAATTCTGTTGTTCCTTAGCTTACTGGTAACTGCACCAGTTTGGTTTTTTGGAGACAATGTAGTACTTTGTGTAACCATCAAGATACATCACACAGCTCACCGTGGTCAAACCGCCAGTTTCCCTGTGGGAAGAAGCATGAGTTTGCTTGGCTGTGCAGCGTGGGCTGCTTCCCACATTTCACAACGGACTGCAATCTCTTCAAATGGAGCTGGGGAGCGTTAGCACAAAGCCTCTGGAAATGGGGCTGTTGTGCAAGGCAGCAGGTAGTTGGCCAAAATGGCGAGACGTGGTTAACTAAGAGTTCAGGAAGCTTTAGCTCAGCGCAGGGTTGCTCAAGAGGCAAAACTAGGGAGACAGAGGCTGGGAAGCAGGCTGTGCACCCAATGGAGCTGTGCACATCCCTGCTCACTGCAGGGGAGCCAGGCTAGGTGGCCTTTCCAACTCAAATGACTCCACGATTCTAACCAGAAACAAGGATCCTGAGAGAGTGGATCACTGGGACAAGGATCCCTGCAGGTGGGCAGAGCACAGCTGGGCAGAGTTGGTACCAGCCCAACTCCCCCCTTTGCTATACAGAGGTTTTCCAAGTGACACCCATGAGCTCTTTGCTCACACACAAAGGAGATGCACAAAGCCACATGTCCACTTCTGCCTCCCAGTTCCCACCCCATATCCCACCTGCCAGACCCTCCTGTTACTCTGACATCAACCCATGAGAGCCAGCATTCCACCTCCTCCTCCTTTTTTTTTAAATTCTTAGTAGATTGGAAAGCTACAGCCCAGACATCTAATCAATGCCACATACCTATACGAGGCTGCTTTGGGAGCATGGCATTTCCACACAAGCACCCCAAGAGAGAGAAGGTCTGAGTAGATAAGGAAGAGGCCCCTTCCAGGAGATTAACCCCCAGCTCTGCAAGGCTTATCAGTGGCCACATGTTTGCTGCTGATGATAGGAATGACAGATTTACATCACATTTCTTCTCTTTGCTGAAGCTCTCAGGGGAGCATCCGTCAGGGCGCGTGGGCTTCAGGCACAGGAATTCAGCTTTTGCAGGTGATAATTACCCACTAAAACCCTGATTGGAAGTAGGGCAGGAGTGCAGAGCTAGCACTAGCCTCCTAGGCAATAATAAGCCCACACCACGGAACAATTCCTCGCCAAGAACACAAGAGCTTTATGCAGCAGGAATGTGGATCAGCTGGCAAATACCTGACATGCCACAAAGCAGGGCTGTGCTGCAGGGCGGCTGCAGGAACAGGCTCACTGATCCCCTGTTGGACGTCTGGAGCTCACAGGACTCAGGCTCATCGTTAAGTGCTTTGCCAAAGCAGCACCTGAAGTCACTCTTCATGTTGGTCACTCAGAAATGGAGTTTTGCTTTGCTCTGTGCACATGCAAACTGTGTACTTCAAACAGGATGGCTCAGGTCAGAAGGGACTTCAAAAGAGCATTTAGTTCCAGCCTCCCAGTTCAGCTGTTTCCCTAGCAGAGCAGCAAGGAACCATCATCTCCTCCTTGAAACACTTGGCAGCTCAGCTCTAGGACAGCAGGGCCCGCCTGGACAACAGAGGAAAGAGCCAGGACAGCTCAAAGGTGATGGAAAATGAACCCAAAATAGCCAATGGCATCTGCTTGAGTGCCAGCAGGATCAGAGGCACTAAAACGTCCTTGCTGCAGGGCCACAGCGCCGAGCAGCGTGCGTTACCAACCCTGAAAGCCCTCATTATCTCACAGCACCGCGCTCCATCACCACGCACAGACATTATCTCTGGCAATCTGTCACTCATCGATCCAGCCCAGAAATGCCTCCGAGATCACAGTCTGGGGAGATTGGAACCAACAGCTTCCCGACAAGGCACAGCTGCAGAGCCTGCAACGCTTCTGGGCAGGCAGCACCTGCAGGGTCCCAGCAGCCTGCAGCCGCGACGTTCCTCCAAACCAAACCTGCTGCTTGCTGTTGGCCACTTCATAATGGAAAGCAAAATATCCGCAGGAGAGAAGGAATGATGGAGCACGTGAGGCAGCTCCATTAAGCTCCATCAGCTCCAACGGCGAACGGCACCGCGGTACAAAGTGCGACAGTCTGTGATCAGGCACTCATCCAAGGTCTCCTCTCCAGCATGTGTACCCTCAGGGGACAGCAGGGGCGAGCAGGCAACGTCCTTGGGTCTGCAACCTCAGTGCTGGGAATGGGGAGCAGGCAAGAGGGAGGCCACATGGAAATAAATCTGTTTTTCCTTCAAAACATATCAAAGCTTGTACAAGTGAGAGTGGGAACACCAGCTGGTAGGCTGCCCTCGTGTCATCAGTCCTGCTGCAGTTGTCTAGAAGGTCACGACAAACAACGTTAACGTTAACTGTCCCTTCAATTAAGTGTGGATCCTCAAACGAAGGGTGGAATTTGAAAAAAAAGAAAGTGTGAGGGCAGCACTGCGAGGCAGCACAGGCACAAAATCCCAGGGAAACTGCATTTAGCTAAGCTGTGAGGGTCTGATGAGACCTGGCAGCACTGCTGGGAAGCAGCAACACCACCAGGTGCTACAAGGACTGCAAGGTAGCACTGTAAAGACTGCATCATACTTCAGCAGCACACTCTCTGGGGAGGTCAGAGCACGCTTTCCAGCCTGGCAACGATAGCCAGGTTCAGCTTGCACTGAAATCTGTAGGCACTGTGATAGAAAAGAGTCAATCCTAGAACCACAGACTGGCTTGGGTTGCAAAGCACCTTAAAGCCCACCGGGCCTCAGTCCTTGCCACGGGCAGGGACATCTCCCACAGCCCAGGTGCTCACAGCTCACATCCTGGCTTTGGGCATCCCCAGCTTGTTTGACTGCAGCCCTTCATTAGCACATAACCTTCTGCTAGAAAGGAATGCTATGGGAGATTGAACCCATGGAGCCAATGCTGCAGCTCAGCAGCCTTTTCCAACAGATCTGTCCTCCTGCAACTCATCCAGCCAACACAGTGAGCCCAGGTCCACAGCTTCCACAGTGAGGAAGAGGCGCTAGGGAGGGACCAGCTGGGTGTTTGCAGCACACAGTACCTAGCAGCAGCACAGCTCTGCTCACAGCAGTGCCTGAGACCAGGGCTTACTGCAGCAGTGACATCCCAGCTGCCTCCAGCAGGCAGCTACAGCAGCACAGCCGGACTGTAAAGAGAGGCAGCTCCCATCATCAAGTCTCCAGTCGTAAACAGGCCTGAGTGAAACCACTCTGCTAAAACAGAGTAACAGAGCCTGCCGTGATCATCTGGGAAAAGGGCTAAAGCAAAGCTCTTACAGAAATGCAGATACAAATAAGTGACAATAGAACCACTGACTGCTTTAAAGAATTCACACCAATCGCACACACACAGACCTGCAAAGTTATAAGAAGAGTGATTCAGAGACCTGAAACCAAGAGGACAGGGTCAGCTCACTGCTGCAGGCAAATGTAATCCCTTCCCTCAACTCCCCCAGCAAACTGCATTGTTCTTCTTATCACTCCTTCACAAGAGTAATCTTTGTGTTGGAAGCATCAGACAGCAAAGCACTTTGATTTGCATTGCACATGGGCTCCAGCTAATCCTTCTGTTCTCCCACTTCTCAGACTCTCCCACCAGAGAGATGACACCACCACCTATTAAAAGCACACCCTGGAGCTGTGTAATGGGAAATTTCACCATCTTCAGGAACACATCAGCAAATATGATTCTGCTTTTAGTGCAGCCAAGGTTCCCATACTGAACAGCCGAACCTCCAACCCACGTTTCCTCCTCTGGGAAATGCTCTGCAGGGGAAATTCACGCTCAGTACCTGACCGAGAGTTAAAGCTTCACATCAAAATGCTTTTTGCTCAGTCCATCTTAGTTAACTTAAGTCTGAGCCCTCAGGCCATTTATCTCCTCCTAACAGAAGGTGAAAACTGAGTATTAAAAATAAAACCAGTCTAGCATTAGAGTGGGGAACGGACCATCACTGCACCTGGCTCCTCAGTACCTTCTCTGTAAGCTGAAGCACTGCTGAGGCCCCTAGCAGAGCAGAGCAGAGTCAGTGCAATCCCTTCAGCTCTGGGAGGTCACCTGGATTTTGCACCCAGAGCATTCCATAGCTGTAAGAGAGCACTCCACAAAAGCTGAGAGATGCATTTCAACCCACAGGTGAGAGGGGTGCTCTGACACTGGGAATGGCCTTGGTTCTTAGTGTCCTCATTCTGTGGTACGTGTAATCCTTCCCTGATTCGCCATGGGAAGGAAATTGGTGCTTGTGGCTTCTCAGATGGCTCAGATCCATGTCTTTGCCCAGAGGCCAGAAGCAGCACACAGGCATTCCCTTCTGAATGTACCTGGACATAGATACCAGAGGGCTTTCCTCCCCAGAGCACCACTGAAACTGCGTCCACAGGTGTGGGCTTGTCTACAGGGCCCGCAGTTACCAATCTGTGCCAGGACACTTACCAGCTTCTGTGCTACAATGTTATAGTGACTGAAGGACTGGACCAGGGCCAGGAAGCAAACCTTACAGCCAGCTGGGGAAGAAGACAAAAGACACATTGTTATTATTTCACTTGTAAACTGCCATTATTGCGGCACATAAATCACAGCAGCCAGGCCATAAATCTGCCTGCAAAAGGCCTTGAAGGGAGGAAGGTGTAGGCAGCCTCTCACTTGCTCATAGCTTGGAATGGAACAGAATGGCTTTCCATTCTTACCTTTCTATGGGTTTTCCATTCTCGCTTTTCTTTGAGCTTTCCAATTTAGTGAAAGCTGTAGCCAGGTTAAAAATAAACAGAAGAACAAGAAAGAGATGACAAAGTAAAATTAGAAAGCCTCTTTTCTGTCCCGTTCCATTCTGCCCAGGGATCTCCCTGCATTGTTTGTTGGTACAACTGCAAGGAGGCCAACGGCCGACCATGACACGAATTACTGAAATCACAGGCCTGCCAAGAGTCCCTGTTTTGGCTCTCTCAGGGCAAGTGACCTTATCTGCAAACACACACAGAACCAGCAATTTTCACAAAGATATCTCACTAGAACATGATTTTGGAAAACCCCAGTGCGTGACAACCTGGCCTTGTGCTTTGGTTCAGACCCAAAGCGGCGCGGCTGCTTCTCCCTGCCAGAGTGCAGGACACAGATCACAAGTGGCAAGGTCTGTGGCCTTAGATTACGAGCAGCAAGGTCTGCGGTGCCAGCTGGGCCTTCCCAAATGTTTTGAGCACCAGCTGGGCACTGGGTCAAGGGCAGGATGTTTGATGCTGAAGTTTGGCATGGCAGGCTGTAAAGGAGCACTGCCCCCCGACCGGCTCCCGCTGCTCACTCCCTGCTCAGCCCATGCCTTCCTGCAGTGCCTCTCTGTTCAGCAAATCAAGGAAACCAAACCTTAGAAATGATGAAGCTGCAGCTGAGGAGGTGGCAGTTGTGGGGGAGCACACACAGCACCCCGAGCGAAATTTCACTCTGAACAGGTTTACCAGCAGAGAACTGGAGTCTGCGAGTCGGCTGGCCGCTCCACAGAGGCCGATTATTGGGGTTATTTGGGGCTGGGAGGTCAGCAGCAAAGCAATGAGGCAGCTTGCCAGCAACTCTGTTTGTTTGTTTACTCACTGCTATCTTATCTATCTGCCGGTTGTTCCTGATAGTTACAAAATGTTGCGAAATGTTCAGTAACAAAGGACCCACACATGGCAGCTCTCCCTCAGATGCCCAGGTGATTTACGGCCTTCACTGCTCAATGACATCACTGCACAGAGACGAAGGGCTCGAGAGCAAGGCCTAGGAACAAGTCAGGACTGGGAGCCAGAAGCCCTGCACTGATGGGAGGATGCCCTGCTCCCCGCAGAATCAGCTCTTGCAGAAACACTTCGTGGAGAAGGAACTTCCAAGGAGCAGGCGAGGAGAAACCCCTGCCTTTCAGAGTCCTGCTGCTCACCCACCTCTGAGGTAGAAGGAGAGGAAGTGGTGCACCAAGAAGCTGCCATCCGTCCTGCTGTCTCGCAGCAGTGTGAATTTACCCTGGAAAAGAAGCAGCAAAGAAACTTCAAAGCGGGTTAAGATGAGGGCATGAACAGCTCCTGGCTCTGTGCCTTGGGAGACGATGCCTGCAGCCAGGGGAGGCTCTGCAGGTACAGAAGTTGGACTCGATGATACCTAGGGGTCTCTTCCAACTCTGGATATTCCATAGTTCTATGGCACCAGAGGAGGAAGGGCACAGGCAGCACCTCAGCCACCATCAGGCTCACTGAGACATGCCACGTTCAGAGCAGGAAGCCTCAGCATCTCAATGTGTTTACAGGAGCAGAACCCTGCACAAAGTACACTACCTTGTTCTGATCGGGCAGGAAATGAATTCACTTCATCAGTGCACACTTGTTATCAGTACTAGACTCATCAAGGCATTTGTTTCCATTAAAATTTCAGTAGAGATTTTCCTCTAATCAGTACAAAACATAAATGGGTTGCTTTTAATCACTAAACTTATCATTGCTTTTTTTTTTTTTTTAAATTTTTTAAAAGAAAAAAAAAGCTCTTTGCAGCAGCAAGCAATCTGCCCATAGGTGATTTGTAAGGCATCTATCAGTTAACACCCCCATGCATAACGTGTTGTAAAGTGCTGCTAACAGAATGACAAACATTCAGTCCGTCTGCAGGGAATGCAAAATGAAGTTTAGGGTACAGAAATGCTGCTCTGTCCCAGCCAGAGAGCACTTTTCCACCCAAAGCAGAGTGGAGGCACCACCCAGTGAGAGGCTCACAGGGATGTCAGTATTGTAAGCCTAGAGCGGTCTCAGGAACAGCACAAGATCCTCATTTCTGTGTTCAGCCCCTCCACGAGTTCCTCTCATCCCCTGGGACTCTCCTCCTGCACGCTGTGAGTCTGAATGCAGCCCCTCTTCCCCTCCTCGCTCACAGTGAAGTGAAACCTGCCTGCTTGGAAGGCTGTGCGCTTTGCTACCGCACGCTGTGCGGGACTCGGTGGGATGCTGTCATGGAGTGCACATGTGATTTACCTCCTTCAGAACTTCCAGTTACTGACCTTCAGTCTCAATGATTCTCACTTTGCTGTCGCACTGCAGCTGCTCAGTACTCAAAACTCTCCATTTCTGATGTTTCCATGCCCAGCTAGCGAGTGATAGGAATGTCTGAACCGTGCACCTCCTGCACTGCTGGCTTTGCACTCCTGGAAATACCGGAGTCCTGCCTGCCTTCCACCCAGTCCACACACCCTTCCCGAGCCCAGGAAGACTGCTCAGCATGTCTGTAGCACCTCAAGGGAAAGACTCCTGCAGCACCTTCTCCTTCTGTCTGCCCAGCACTTCGCTTTCACACTCTGTCCACCTGCAGGCTACAGAGCAGAAGCTGCAGCTACGTGTCAGAAACTGCCAGCATCGACTGGCAGGGCAGCGGCAGGAGTGACAGCATTTGGTGGTGACATGTCAGTACACCCACACAGGCAGCAGCTTCTTCCACCTCCCAGCCCTGCAGTCAGTTCTTTGAAAAATCACAGAACTGTAGAATCATCACGTTTGGAAAAGGCCTTTCAGATCGCTGTGTCCAACTGCCAGCTCCACCATGCCCGCTGACCATGCCCCCAAGTGCCACATCTCTACAGTCCCTGACCACCTCCAGCAATGGTGATTCCACCACCTCCCTAGGCACCGTGCCAGTGCCTGAGCATTCTTTTGGAGGAGAAATTCTTCCTAACACCCAACGTGAAATGGCACAGGCTTAACCGCAGACATGCAGAAACGATATGGCAGAGAAGGGAAAAGGAAACCTGCAAAGGGCTGATGCTTTTTAAGAAGGATTTCTGGCCTGCATTCGTAGCCCAAGAGTGGCAGGACGTCCAAGTGGGTGGATGGAATTCCATGTCCTCAGCTGATGGAAGGAGGAAAGAGCCAACACAAATCTGAGTCTTCGGTTCAGCACTGCTTCCAGGTTCTGCCCACGCTGCCACATCAAAACTCAGGATTTTGAGGCATAACCTCCTTCTGCTCTGCTGAATTCCCGTCCTGCACCTGCGTTCACTGAGTCCATCTGCTGGCGTCACACAGCATTATCTAACAATTAAACCCTATATCTGTGAGCGGTGTCTCAGTGCTCCATGAGCTCCAGCAGCTCAGGGCTGTGCCTGCTGCCCTGGGGAGCTGCTCCATGCCCACTATCCTGTGGGGCACAGCCTTTCCCTCATACCCCCCCATCCCCCACTTCCCAACCCTCCCTGACAGCTCCATGCTGTTTCCTTGGGCCCTGTTGCTGTCATAGAGAGCAAAGCTGCCCCTTTGCTCCCTGTGAGGATCTGTAGAGCCATGAGGGGCTGTAGGGCACCATGAGGCCTCACCTCAGCCTCATTTGCTCTGGGCTGAACAAGCAAGACGTAATGGCCTCAGGCTGCACCAGGGGACGATCAGGCTGGATACTGGGAACAGTTTCTTCTCCAAAGAGCATATGAGTGCTGGCACAGCTGCCCAGGGGTGGGAGATCACCTTCTCCAGAGGTGTTCAAGAACTGTGGGGATGTGGCACTGGGAGACGTGGGCAGTGGGCACGGTGGAGGTGAGCTGACAGCTGGACATGATGATCTTAGAGGTCTCTTCCAAACTTAATGACTGTGGGACTCTAAACCCAGGGACCTCACATGTTCTCTCCTCAAAGTCTTCACTCCTTCAGGGTGTGGGGTGACAGACCCCAAACACTCCACGGCAGCTGTGGGGAACTCCATGGGTTCTGCATCTGTACAAAACAAATGGCCACTCCAAATATACAATTTTATTGCCTAACATAGCACGTATCAGGAAATACATCCCATTCTCTGTAGCACGTGGAGGTGTTTTCTTAACGTTTGACCCAAACGTGCCACAGCTCCACACGGAGCTCAGCAACCACAGCTCAGCACCAAAACTGCAGGGACAAAACACTTCCATGCAGCCTCCTAAAGGAACAGAAACTTTTTCTGCCCAGAGATGCGGTGGATGCTCCAACCCTGCAGACTTCCAAGGCTGGATCAGGCCTTGGGCAACCTGATGGAGCTGTGCTGTCCCTGTGCACGGCAGGGGAGCTGGACTAGATGGCCCTCACAGCTCCCATTCAGCTCTAAGAGTTCTCCCCGGAGGGGCAACGCTTTCACATCCCCTCCTTTTGCTCCGTCCGCCCCACAGATCCCAGCGAGCTCTGTGAAGGGCCGTTCCCTCCTCATAGCGCCACGGCCGCAGCCCGCTCGTACTACAGCCCCCGGCGTGCCCCGCGCAGCCGCCTTCCCGCCTTCCCGCCTTCCCGCCTTCCCGCCCCACAGCCCACCGCCTACCGCCCCCTTTCCGCCTCCCCGCGCCCCCGCCGCTTTCCCGCCTCCCGCCCTCACCGTGTCTGGGCGCTGCGGGGCGGCGTCCAGCAGCTCGTTCAGCTCCTGCAGCATGGCGGCTGTGTGTGCGCGCGTAGTGAGTGGGGGGAGCGACGAGAGCCGCGCATGCGCCGGGCGGGGCCGCCTTCTCGCTGCCAGCCCCCCCACACCTCCGCCATGTTGTCCTGGTGGGCGCGCGGAGGGGGCGCGCTGAGAGGCGGTGTGAGGGACTGAGGGGATGCACTGAGGGACACACTGAGGACAGAGGGGCAAAGTGAAGGCTTACACTGAGGGGCGCACTGAGGGACTGAGAGAATCCCTTGAGGGGCAACCTGAGGGCTGCCCTCAGGACAGAGGGACATACTGAGGGGACACGCGGAGGAGACAGTGGAAGGCTGAGGGGACCCGCTGAGGGGCAGGGACACGAGCGCGTCCCTGCTGTAGGAAGGGCCCTTCGCTCTGTTCCAACCCAAACATTCGCTTATTCTGCGATCCCCACCTCCCCCTGCTGGCAGCGCTGTCCCCGCCGCAGCCCGGACGCCCTTTGCCCGCGGGCTGCGGCTGCTCACAGAGCTGAGCTGCGCCCGGGTTCGGGGCTGTCAGCCTTTTTGCAGCAGGGATTGGAACCGGGTGGTCTTGGAGGTGCTTTCTGTCCAACCATTCTGTGGTCCTGTGACTCAGCAACACTCCTGGGGCTCAGCGCTGGGTCCTCCGGCTGGGCTCTTCACCATGGAGCAACATGGAGCTGTGTCATGGAGCAGTGCCTCCGTCATGAGGCAGCGCCTTGTGTCACAGAGCAGCATCCCGTGCCATGGACCAGCATCCCATGTCATGGAGCAGCACCCTGTGCCATAGAGCAGCACCTTACAACATAGCAGCAGCCC